ACAAGCAGCCGAAAGCACCAGCCTGAAGATGACGAGTGAGACCTCGTCGAAACGTCGCCTAGACACCCCAACTTTACACGGGAAGACACCCGAGAACACCAAAACCTGCATATATATATATATATATATAATACCACACACACACACACACAATACACACACACATAAACTTTACCAGTCAATTCCTCTTCCTACAGAACTCTGGGAATTGTAGCCACGTAGGGGACCATAACAACTACAATTCCAGCATTGTGTTGACAGCAGCTATTTACTTAAGCTTATAACAGTGCTATGTATACTCTGGGTGTGATGGGCAGTCTCTTGGTATGGCTTGACTCTTCGCATTTTGCTCACCCTGAACGATCATCATGAGTAATGTAGTGTGTGCGTGATCTCTCTGCTTATCTGCTGGAGGCAGCAGCATACCTTTGAATGCCTGTTTCTGGGAATCACAAGTGGGAAAAGCGCTGTTGCACTTTGGGTCTTGCCTGCTGGCTTCCCATAGGTATTTGGTTGGCCATTGTAAGAAAAGGATGCTGGACTAGATGGAACTTTGGCCTGATCCAGAAGGCTCTTCTTAGTGAAGTAGGAAAGTACTGGGTTTTTTAAACTTTGTGCAAATCAACAGTGTTCATGAAATCTCAGCACTTTTAACATGGGGGGAAATGTAGCAATGTACTTATTCTAAATGACCTGGATCCTTTCCCTCGAACCATCCTCTGACAGATCCCATGCACACCATAGGAACTTCAATGCACTGACAGCACCCACAAATGAAGGTAAGCACTGGAGCTTGTCTCCCACCTGCTAGGTTGGGTATTATAAGATGCTCTTCCAGTGGTCTATAATTGGCATCTTTCCACCACTTCAAAATTGCTCAAACGGTAAGAAGTGTTTTTTCTATATAGCAGCTATTTCGACCCCTAACTGAAAGGGCTCATTTACACCCGCCTTGCAATGATGGGAAAAGAAATTTCATTTCAGCTCTCAACTAATATAGCAAGTCTAAAGTATGCAATCTATAATCCTTAAGAAGAAAAAGAACACCTTCAACCTGTACAATGGAAAATAATGGAAAAAGAGACAGATTTAAAACTCAAAGAAGCATCTCATAATGAGAAACCCAAGCGCCTTTTGTTATAGTAAGGTCAGAGAGATACTGTTGAGTTTTTAAGAGAGAGCAATACTTACGACTATCTTCTTTAGCAAAAGTATACAAGAATGTTATTATGAGAACTTTCAATATATGTTCCCCACCCTTGCCTTGCCAAAATTCTATTCAGTAATAAGGAGTTAATGGTACAGCCCACATTACAGGATGGTTGTTAAGAATTACTGAGGCAACATATGAAACACACTTTGACAGCTCCAACAAAAGGGTAATCTATGTGATGTTGTTGGCAAAGGGTTTGTATCTGAATGGGGAAATGATTAAGTTCACCCATAATTAATGGCTTGAATTTTACCAGTATAATTACCATAAAGTTCAGCCTCCCAGCAGCAAAAATGGATATCAATACACTGTTGCAATAACAGACTAACGCTAATGTATTTCAGAAACTGCCATGGGCCCAGATCCCAGAGAGAGCAGAGAGAGTTCAGTTTAACTATCCAGCCTTGGGCTGGAATTGCATTTCACAGTTTTAATTAATTGCTCAGAACAAAAAACCAGACACATATCATTAGGAAGGATACCGGAAAGCGCTGCTTGTTACTTTCTTGAAGGTTTTTCACACAACTGGTCTTTTGCAAAGGCTTTGTACCTTACACTAACAATGTCATGCCAAACTCTAATGAGGCAGAGTCATTTCTCCCGAGACAGGATATGGCAAGTTCAATCTGATAACTATTTTTGGCTTAACATTATGTATGCATTATGTATGCATCAGAGCACTGCCTTTGAGGGACTGCTCAATACGGCACTGACCAAGCCTGCTAAATCTCTAAAAAACAGGGATGGGGAACCCCCAGCCTGCAGGCCGAATTTGGACCACCAGGCCGTCCCTGTGTGGCCCACAACGATGTTTTCACCAAACTATGCCCACCTGCCTCACACCTCATACACAACCTCAGGTGCAGGGGCAAGTAGAGAAACAGCTTGAATCCCCACAGATGGAAAGTAGGATGGAACCATGCAACAGCCGTTCAATCCTGCTTAGTTGGGTGTATGAGCAGTGACCTCGCTGGTGTACCTGAACCCCGCAGCAAGCAAGACGGAACTGTTTGCGCATCATTATAATGTCAGATGATTGGCAGGTGGGTGGAGATAAAGATCTGCCCTGCTTGGCTGAAAATTTCCTCCACTCTTGGCTGAAAGATCAAAATTATTGATCAGAATACTGCAAAACAGAAGCCTTTACAAGGCTGGATAGGGAAACAAGCAGTATGTTTCCGAGCACAATTCAAAGTGTTGGTGCGGACTTTTAAAGCCCTAAATGGCCTCGGCCCGTGATACCTGAAGGAGCATCTCCACCCCCATCATTCTGCTCACTGCGAGAAGTGAAGCTACAGGGAATCAGGCAGAGGGCCTTCTCGGTAGTGACGCCCACCCTGTGGAATGCCCTCCCATCAAATGTCAAGAAAATAAACTATCTGACTTTTAGAAGACATCTGAAGGCAGCCCTGTTTAGGGAAGTTTTTAATGTTTGATGTTTTGTCGCTTTTTTATATATTCTGCTGGGAGCCGTACAGATGGGCAGGGTATAAATACTGTAATAAATTATTATTATTATTATTATTATTATTATTATTATTATTATTATTATTATTATAGCTGGCACCTGTCACAAAGACACCAGCCTACTGCCTTCTAAACTATCTCAAGTGTTAAAAATAATTAAATTGCCGCAATCCCAAAGCTCTACACATAGAGCCTTGCACATCCCAGGGCTGCCTTGTGCCTTGCCATATGTCAAAGAATATTCTGTGAGCACAACGAGGAAACTGCTACTCACAGAGAACACTCTGACACAGAAAACAGGAGAGTATTCCCTATGTGTGCAGTTGCTGGCTAAGCTATCCTAATGTTCCAGTGGGTCTAGCCAGGCAGACGAGCCTCTAGATGCCAAAGACTAAATTGCTCCGTCTGATCCATCTTCTCTAAGAGTTGCATCAAATTAACTTTTAATCAGAGTAGACCCACTGAAATTAACAGCTGTAAGTTACTCATGAATTTCAATGGGCCTATGCTAAGTAGGACTAACACTACACAGAACCTTAAGTTTCCTTCAATGACACCTGTCTTTATGCGTGGATCAGACAGGTCTAGAGAAAGAGGAGACAACTGGCCAAAGGAAAAGAGCGAAGGTGGATGAAAAGGACTGGAAGAAGCAATTCCTGAGATGGAAAGCAGGGAAGAGAACAGGAAGAAATCTGAGAGGGGATAGAAAACCGAGTAAGAAACTAAGCAGAGGAGAACTCTTATCATGATCAGGAACTGACAACTAAAGGAGAAATGAAATTCACAACTGGCTGATTTGAAATAACCCAATTTTGGGTTTCAGGATTCTAGAAATGTTACAGCACAAAGATGGATTACTTCGAGTATGATAACTGAAGAATTCTATTGTTTCTTTTCCAGAGCCTGCAAGTTCTTTTTACCAACTCACCCTCAGCTCTACTTCTTTGCCCAGTAAATCAAAAAGAGATGCTCCTTTGGAAGTGATTTCTGAAGCAAGCTGCCTGGCCGTCTTCAAATCGCTGATCTAGATAAACATCAGAAAAAGAAGAGCTTTACCTTCATGAAAATTCAAGGGGGGGGAGGATAAGGATATTTCTAGTGAAACCACCATATCTGGTCAGTTCTGCAACTGGAAGGGCATGTCTCAAAACACATAAAAAGAAGAGATCATATCTACACCAATTATGGTGGAAACAAATCATGCTTTAAAGGGACAAGCTGCATATCATGTTATTTAGACCTGAGGGTATAGGGTGGTATACAATATTATTATTATTATTATTATTATTATTATTATTATTATTATTATTATTATTGTTGTCCACTTTTATTCTGAAAAAAGAGCAGCCATGTGAGACCCCAATCCAGACTGGATCAACAATCCTCCAATTTCTCTCTGCTGTTTGCCGTGAAAAACATCTCTGTGAACAAGTAGCAACCGGGGGTGGGGGGATGATGTTCAGCTACAAACTGATGTGGAACTGAAATCTGCATCGGGAGCACATTTTGGATTAGGACCTCCCATGGATACTTTTCCTTTAAAAAAGAAGCAGTTAGTTTAAGCACACTTTTAAATAAGTGTGAACAATCTGAAATGTGTATTCCAGCCTAAAGATACTTTTAAACAAGTAAATGAAATCATACCCATAAATGAATTTTTTACATTGCCAAAAAAGAACATTTCCTGAGTAGGAGGAGGTCATCTGAAATTAATGAGCTGCAGCTTCAATTCAAAAGAGTCATTTTCTCAAGACGCTTATAGTTACAGTGGTGCCTCGCAAGACGAAATTAATTCGTTCCGCAAGTTTTTTCTTCTTGCGAGTTTTTCTTCTTGCGAAGCACGGTTTACCATAGGAATGCATTGAAAATCAATCAATGCGTTCCTATGGAAACCGCCTTCAGACCAGGTCCGGGGACAGTCTGTCCCCCGACCTCTTCTGAAGGCGGTTTCAAAAGCCGTCCGGGATAGCGGAGAAACGCGCTGCACTTCTCCGCTATCCTGGGAAGGCAGGCAGGGGGGAGCAAAGCCTTTCGGCCCCCGCCGGCCTTCCTGGACCTCTTCTGAAGGCCGGAGGGGGGCGAAAGGCTTTGCTCCCCACCGCCAGCATTTAAAAGAGGTCCCCGGAGATTTCCCTATGGGCTTTCTTCTTGCGAAGCAAGCCCATAGGGAAATTCGTCTTGCGGAACGACTCAAAAATGGAAAACTCTTTCGTCTTGCGAGTTTTTCGTTTTGCGAGGCGTTCATCTTGCAAGGCACCACTGTAGTATATTTTCATTGGGAAAGGATGAGAGAGATAAATGAGTTAAGCGGATTGGCACAACCTTAAAACCTGCAGTCCTTCTGGTCTCCAATGGCAACTACCAATTATCGTACAAAGACTAGATATGCCATGATGGGGTGTACACACAACCTACTGTAGTCTCTTTCTTGCCTTGGGGCTCCTGGCCCTTTTTAGGAGGAGAGAGGCAGCCTGAGATGGCGGAGAGCCACAAGGCTTTCACATCAAAGGAAATTAGCCTTCCCGCTGTGGGGCAACAAAACACACAGGTGTCTGTCACCTTGGATGAAGATCAGCACAGCCAAAGCATCAGGATGGTGGCCCACCTTGTCCAGCATCCTGTTCACACAGTGGTCGACTAGATGCCTCTTCTGGGAAGGATGCAAGCAGGCCCTGAGCACAACAGCACTCTCCCCTCCTGCAGTTTCCAACAACTGGTATTCAAAAGGATACTCCCTCTTTCAATGGAGATAGAACATAGTCATCCTGGCTAGTAGCTATTGACAGACTTATCCTACATGAATCTGTCTAGTCCTCTCTTAAAGCAATCAAAACTGGTGGCTATCACTACCACTCGTGGGAGCAAATTCCCATTCAACTATGTGCTGTGTGAAGAAGTTACTTCTTTTTATCTGTCCTGAATCTTCTGGCATCCAGCTTCATTGGATTTTTATTCATCTGAGAGAAACGGCAGCTGTGGAAGAAGGCGGAGCAAGAGAAGAGACAGTGGGGGTGGGCAAACTCCCCGCTCCATCACAGTTGGCGTGACCCATTTACAGATTCATAATTACTAATACTCTTACAAAACATTTTTTTTGTATGCAATGTGCAGACTCATTGACAGACCAGGAAGAAAGGCCAGACACACTAAGTCATGGGAGGGCAGAAAAGTATAAAAACAGCTGGAAGCCAGAATGTGAACATATTCTTAGTGATAGTGATACTTTTTCTGAAAACCTGGGAGATGGAAGACTAATGGGTTGGAAATTGGGGCAATCTCACAGTAAATTTGGACTGTAATCCTCAGGTCACATCCTCCAGACAAGCCCATGGAGGATAGATGCTAAGAATGTAGGGACAAAGCAGTCAGCTTATTATTTGTATGTATACTTTGCCTTTTTGCCAAATCTTTTCTGAAGAGGATGGCAGTGATGAAAGAAGCCATAGTTAACACATACAATAGTAACAAAATATAAATATATATATATAGTACAGTAACCTCAACAAAAAACCTAGCAAAAAAGAATTTGCAACCACACCGTGAAATGTAGGTGTTTGAGATACACTTGTAAACCTCACTGGAGAGAAAGTTCCGTAACCACTGCTGAATTGGTCTTGAAGCCAATACTCAAAAGGATATTCATCTGCGATTCTCTTATGAGTACTGGTTCCCAATCTCAAATACAGGAACAAACTTTAAAAAATTAGTGAATAGTGTGAGAAATACTTTTATTGTCTTCGCTAATACATCCCAGGCCTAAAGCTTTATCTGGACTATATCACTTCAGACTGTAAGGGGAGCGTCAAAGGAATGATAGCTCCTCCATACCATTATTAAAAAATGAATAAATCATTGCATCTGGAAAAATAGCATGTCAGAAAGAAGGCTATTATATACATGAATATATTATACGCTGTACGAAGGAATACCCCATTATATGATCCCTCATCAGTGGTACAGGCCAGAGACAAGCAGACCACCTCCATAAGGACTAGCTCCAAACCACTGCTGATCAAATCAAACTTTGCATCAAATCGGAATTCCCCATGCCAACTGTTTTAATCAACTAGGGTTGAATGTGTGGTTAACACATCTCTAGATTGTACACATTACTTCACAACAACAACAACAACACAAGGCTTCTACAGCTAGTGTGAATTGACTAGGTGGCCCTTTGTTTCAACTTAATCTGGTTAACAGAGAAGTTGTGACGCTAAAATAATACTCTAGCATTCCTGAAAAGAAGAACAGGGCGCAAATGTAATAAATCTTGAAAAGAAAATGAAAGAGGAAGAAGCACAAAGCTCCTTACTTTTGAGCCAAGGTCAAATTTGAATTTGCTCGTGTCTTCTTCACCCACTGCAGTGGCTTCCATTCCTTTGGTCTTCATAGCATTGTAAAGAACAGAGGTGATCTTTAAGAGCTCCTTCACTGCATAGCCATCTGCTTGGTAGAGCTTCTTGGTGTTGAGCTTGATGTGAGCTTTTGTCGCCTATTAGAAAGCCAAAAATAAATGCCGATTTGTTTTACTGTATTTTCTGTCCCACCTTTCTTCCATGACTGAACTCAAGGCAATATACATAGCGTTCCCAAGCAGTCTCCCATCCAGCCACTAACCAGATCTGGATCTGCTTTGGCTTTCATAAAGCTGCTTCATCATGTTTTTAGGCCATGCTCTGGGATCGCCAGACTCTGAAGAGGCAGATCTCAAAACACCTTCTCCAAGAACACAACTTATATATCTTAGCGAGTGTTTCCATCTTTAAAAGACGCTTTTGCCCATGCAATAGTTGTAACACAGTAATTCAGATTGCAAAAAGACAGCTCAAGCCGTTCCCTGATGCTGTCAGGATAAAAATGACCCTTATACAGCAAATGCCCTTGGCATCAAGTGGTTCCCTAATTAGCCCAAAGAGAAAACTCAGCACAGCAAACTTTGCTGATCTACTTCGCCAGGGGTGGAACTGCAGCTGATCAGACCTTTGCTTAATTGGCACTTAAGTGCTGCCCACCCGTGCCCACCTTCCACACAGAGGTCAGTGGCTCCCCAACCCCACTGTGAATTGCCGTAATGAGATCATTTACCTTAATGAATTCTTCCCTTTCAATGATTCTTGTGGACAGGCAATTCAACATTTATCTATTAAATTACTCTGTTTTGATTTCTCTCCCTGGTATGTGCCATGAAATCAATCCAACACTTCTCCGTGAACACACATAAACATTTACCATCTGGAAATTAAAAGGAAGGGTGTTGAGGAGGGAAGGGAGTTCCACAGTGGGGATCACCGGGAGAATGGAAAGTGATGGCAGGGAACTGTATGTAGAAGTTCAGAGCATGGAAAAAAAGCCAGAGGGGTTTCAAAATGGAAAATATTTATAAGTAACGAAAGAATGAAAGCATAGAAAAACAAGTAATAATAAAGTAGCAGGTTTGCATTTCAATATATTTACCCCTTGCCAAAGAACTGAAAACTCTTCACTTTTGGATCACACTTCTTGGAGTAACAACCCTCTAACCAAGAGGGTTGTTACTCAAATGCCTGGGTGCATGTAGCAGAATCACAGTTTACAGGAATAACATATTAATGAAAGGAAGAAAATGGGGGGGGGGGGATATTGGGGCTGCCATATATGGATAATTCTCCAATTTGTTTCTGAACAAGTATGAAGTGAGATGCAATCCCGAGATCTTGTCTATCTTCATCTATTTTATTTCCACAACTTTGTTGCTGTTTATACAGTGGTCACAGCTTGGGTGACTTGCATTTTGTATTGTGTACACATATATTTGCATATGCTGACATGTTTATGTTTCAATAATCACTTCTGTTTTGTTACTTGGGTTCCTGTGACTTTGTCTTTTAGCTACTCATAGTTCACTCCATGACACGAGTGGATACTCAAGGAACTAAAATCATAGATGGGGATGGTGTGGGCCAGGGTGGTGGAAGAAAGGTTTGCCTTGAGAGGCTCTTGGAAGAAAGGTGACATATTCCCCTGCTAAGCAAGATGGAAATATTTTCACATCCCAAACATCAGTGCCTGCAGAAAACACAATTTGCTTTGGACAAACCACTAGGGAGAAAAAGCAGGGAAAGTGCACAGCAGGAGGGGAGACCTGCAAGGAGGAGGTTTCAACAGGCCAGGTGAAGTTTAGCCCAGACTCTGATAAAAGCTTCAGCAGGGAGGTACAACAAGGAATGGCTACTTTAGAAATGCTGAAACCGAAGAAGAGGAAGGATCAAGTGATTGCCTGATGTGAGGATTACACGAAACAACCTCAGCAAGAATAGAGAAAATGTAATTGCTAGACCAAAAATGGCAATTCTTTATAGACACTGAAAAGACCTAAGCAATTTTTGAGCAGCCCAGAAAAGGAAGAAGTGGTCAGCACGCATTGGCAAGAAAAAGTATCATGGGCAATTGTTTAAAAACAACAACAAGCAAAGTGTTTTTCCTTTATTTCTTTCAGCCAGAAGATTGTGAAGTGTTGCTTCATGACAGCATTGAGTGCAAAGTTTTGAAAGAAATTGTAATTTCTATATTGGTAGCACCTACAATGTCAGTTTCACTGGGAGGCTGATGGAAAGCATTCTGAAGGTATTGTTAAAAACCGAAGTGCTACAGATCCATTTAAAAAACGAAGAGGAAAAATCAATAATTGTTATGGAAACAGAGACCAAAGTTAGTAATGAGAAAAATAATGTACTTTCTGTATTTCTCAAAATAGCAATAAAAGTGCCAGTCCTATAAGTTTAGAAATCAAACACTTGAGCGATATTCACATCTGCTACCAGCAAAACATTTGCGAAGGTCAACAGTTCTTCCTAGTCTATCGCTTTAAGATTGACTCAATTACACCAGCAACATTTCAGAACCTTCATCTTATTCTGGTAGCCACTCTCGTTCGTTTTAATTTCTACTGGATGTGCTCCACAGAACAACAGGAAAATAAAACTATCCAATATGGACAGCAGAAGCAGTGTGTAAGACTCACTTCCAAGGAAATTTATTTTCAATAGTAGTAAATCAGTGCCTTGACCTTGCTTGGTGATGTCTCTGCTTTTTAAGATGCTGTCTAGGTTTCTCATTGCTTTTCTCCCAAGAAGCAGACGTCTTTTAATTTCGTGACTGCTGTTAGCATCTGCAGTGATCATGGAGCCCAAGAAAGTAGCCCGGGAGAAATGTTCAAGAAGTGCACAGACAGGACATCTAAGGCAACAGAGCTCTGCTGGTCCTGCTGCCCATCAACTGCCTCTTAATTGGAATGTTTCATTTAGCTAATGGCCAGTGACAGGCACATCCTTCTCTTAATGTTACCTCAGCCAGAGGCCATCACCCCATTTTGCAGCAGATCATTCCATTAATTTAATTATGCTAGATGTATGGATGTACTTTTTGTGATCTGTCCTGACCCTACGGTAACCAATTTCATTGGATGACCCAGTTCTAGTGTTACAAAAGACAGAGAAATTTCTATCTATGCATGATATGGAGAAAGTGGATAATTTGACAACTTTTTTATCATGTTGCCCTTAGTCATCTTTTTCTAACATAAAAAGCTCCAAATGCCTCACACCTCTCCTTGCAGGAAAAATGCTCCATTAACCTGATCATTTTGCTGCCATTTTCTGTACCTCTGTATCTCTACAGTTTCCTTTTTTGAGATGAAATGACTGGAACTGGGTTCAGTACAATACTGGGATTTTTAAATTTTCTGTCCCTTTACTAGTAATCCCCAGTATGGAATATGTCTTTTTCACAGTTGATACTCACAGAGTTGACAATATTGTTGAGCCCCAAGATCTCTTTCCTGGTTAGTCATCATCAGTTCAGAGGATGGCTGAACATGTCACCATATATGTGAAGTTATGGTGGTTTTGCATAACTTTACACTTAATTATACTGAATCTCATTTGCCATTTTGCCGCCTATTCACTCAGTTGGAGAAATCCTTTAGGAGCTCTTCACAGTCTACCTGAGTCATCACCATCACCATCTACTATATATTTCAGAATATGGTTCTCTATGCATTCAGATGTCTCTTGAAATATCATCACCAAGCTCAGCATGAGGGTGCCAAACACCATTGTGAATTAAGATGGCAGTCCGAAATATTACTTTAGTGTGCCTTCACCTCATTTTTGGCTGATTTCAAACTTGGCACGAGGGTTTGTGGAGTGGGGCAGTAGTTTTATTTGGGGGGTGTATGTTCGCTGCGGGGTGCGCTCCCGTCGCTCGGTCCCAGCGCCTGCCAACCTAGCAGTTCGAAAGCACCCCCGGGTGCAAGTAGCTAAATAGGGACCGCTTACCAGCGGGAAGGTAAACGGCGTTCCGTGTGCTGCGCTGGCTCGCCAGAGCAGCGATGTCACGCTGGCCACGTGACCCGGAAGTGTCTGCGGACAGCACTGGCTCCCGGCCTATAGAGTGAGATGAGCGCACAACCCTAGAGTCTGTCAAGACTGGCCCGTACGGGCAGGGGTACCTTTACCTTTTACCTTTATGTTTGTATTTATTGAAGATTTTCTTAGGTTACAAAAGTACATACATCGTCTCTCTTTTCAGATCATAAAGTCCTTTTTTCAGATCATTTATAGTCGATGTGAGACTTTAATATTGTATACAGTATAAGGTTGGGGGGGGAGACATAAGGGGGGTTGAAAGAAGGGGGTGGCAGCAGTTTTGGTTGACAATGTGCCACTGGCCACCATTCTGAAACAAGATGATGGACCAAAACATGACTATGGTGTGACTGCCTGCTTTTTTGGCAGCTATTTTGGATGCTGCTGAAGAAATAGTTGCCCTGCTTTTCAACACTGTACCTAGTAACTTATTTCTTCTTCTTCCAGGACCACAGCTACATTTCCCCAATGCCAATGGCGATGATGTGTACCACAAGTCCAACCTTATCAACCAGACTATGCTTCACAAACCCATCTATTACAGAGCCAAAGCCATAGTTCTATGTTAAGAGTGAGTCATCACATTACACCAATAGAAGGATATTTATAAAGACCAAATCATCCGCTGTCAAGAAAGTCTTTAATATTTTCAGTCTCAGGATCTATATTTAGCCTCCACTTGCAACACAAGACCAATTCTCCTTAGTATATTCCTGGGCAGTTATTTTAAACCTATATGAACCTTATTTTACATTGTTTTCATTTGGAATTAAAGTCACAGTGGAAAGGATGTGTCAATCAATAAAATGCTAGCAAGACTCGGCAAGGCAAGAGGAGACCTGCTGGTCTCTCCCCCTCACTTCATGGTAAAGCGTAAAATAAATAGACTCACCATAAATTGAGCAACTGCTTTAATGAAAAAAACCCGATCCTGCTCCGTATCAACATCTGAAGGAATATCAGTCTGAGGCTCATACCTGCAAAATGAAACAGCTCTAACAGTTTAAAAGGTATGCTGCTAGAACATATTATTTTAGCAAAATGTTTCAAACTGACAAAGAACTTTTAAAAAGAAAAACACACATACTGAATACATAAAAATCAACACAGGCAGTCAACAAAAGGCAAGAGTAAGAGCCCCAATACATCAAGAAGCAAGAGACAGATCCCAGGACAGTGCAACCACTCACTGGGAAGTACAAACGCCCTCCGAAACAAGACAGTCCTAGCTTGACCCTAGAAAAGCAGCAGCAAGAAGGGATTTGTAGAGCCAGGTTTTTGCAGTCTTGGAGGACCACTACAATAAGGTCCCACATGAAGACTGACTTTGTACTTGTGGTCAACCTCTGGTGGAAGACATTCTGAAACCTTCATTCACAAAAGCAAGCATGTACACCCTAGCAGAAATGGTCATGTTTCTTTTGAGTGACAACAATAGTTTTGTAACACAGAAGTGGTCTTATATATACTAGCCGCAAAAAGAAAAATCAGTAAAAGGGATTTAGATGAAATCGTTATAAATTGTTGTGGTGATTTGGAGGTTTAACTTGAAATCAAGCTGCATATGAATTTGTACATAGTGTCTCTGGTAACCTCTCTCTTACATCATAGATCTTGGCTCATATTATGGATGTATTACTATTATTATTATTTATTAAATTTGTATAGCACCCTATACCTGTAGCTCACCTGTAGCGTGTCACTAGGGTGGATGTATGATCTGTATTGTTCTATTGGTACTGTTGCTGCAGGTTTGTCATGGCCTTTGGCTAGAACAATAAACTTACATTGTGTTTGATTTGAGAAAACAGTGTGAGGCTATTTTAATCTCAGTAACATGTATGACTTTGAACTGAGGAAAAGCCAAGGGTTTAAGTTGCTCAAGTATGAAAGAAAGCTTCAAAGATGTTCTAGAAGCAGAACCGATGCTGTTTTTTGTGGGCTGGAGATCTTGTAGAAAAAAACAGCATCTAAAGTTCATCTATAAGCCTGTCCTTTTCCAAAGATCCAAGTATTCCTCTGGTGATTATCACATTTTATCTGATATTTGCTTTCAAATGAGGATAAAGTACCAACCTTTTCACCAGCCAAATGAGTATCTCTGAAACCAGCATGAAGTTTGGAGTGCGAAAGTTCTCCATCGAGATGAGCCGGGGATAGCCTAGAGCCCTCATCATCTCAGTAAAATCTTGAGAAACAAATATGCAATTTTTTAATGTATACAGCATCGTGATCTCCTGTCCTTACATCTTGATATCAAGGGCAAAACAGTTTTTCCAATTATCCACGGGATAGGTATCTTGTAGATCATACATATACAGTATTCTCTAACTCACTAGTCATCAACTAATGGATTATGACCTAATACTAGGCCTATGGTGGGTAGCAGCAACAACAAAACTTTCTTTCTAAGAAGAGAAAAACAGCAGACTGTGATAAAGAAAATGGCTTCTGTGCTGCATTTAAAGGTTGATCCAGTGTCTGTGAATAGTGTGAACTATTCTTCTCAAATAGTTGTACCCTGCAGTGGTTAACCCTTCCTTGACCTTATCTCATGGCTGTCCTATGAGAACTACCAGTGTGGGCAAAGCCAGGGCAGCAATTTCAGAAACAGGATTAAATCCAGTTGAGTTTATGGGTATTGGACATGCATAATGGCAAAGGACAGGAGTTTTCGAGGGTGCTGCTGAATCTGTGCACCACATTTCAGAGCAGGAAGTGCCAGCAAATGAAAACGAATTGGCTGTCATCCTGCTGCTTTCCATAGTTCATTAACTAGAAGGACAGTGTTTATTGTTTGGCAACTGGGGAAATTTGACAGGAAATTAGTAACTAACGGAGGTTAACAAGTCAGTCACAAGTCTGAGAAGAACAAACTGAATTCAGTTGTGCATAAAAGGTAAAGGGACCCCTGACCATTAGGTCCAGTCGTGGCCGACTCTGGGGTTGCGGCGCTCATCTCACTTTATTGGCCGAGGGAGCCGGCGTACAGCTTCCGGGTCATGTGGCCAGCATGACTAAGCTGCTTCTGGCGAACCAGAGCAGCACATGGAAATGCCGTTTTCCTTCCCTCCGGAGCGGTACCTATCTACTTGCACTTTGATGTGCTTTCGAACTGCTAGGTTCGCAGGAGCAGGGACCGAGCAACGGGAGTTCACCCCATTTGAACCGTCGACCTTCTGATCGGCAAGTCCTAGGCTCTGTGGTTTAACCCACAGCGTCACCCGCGTCCCTCTCAGTTGTGCATAGATATCAATTTAAAAAAAAACACCAAAGAGAACTACAGCACAATTTCTGATGTGCTTTTTAAGACATGAGCCATAAATTATTATGTGTACCTATGATGTTGATGCCTGGAATTGCCTCTCTTCAGAGCTCAAACTACCAAAGGGACCAGACCCTGTATTTTTTGTGTGCTAGCTTGTTCAGCAAATGCAGGGATAGCCAATGCTGAGTCCAGATGTGCTGGACTACATCTCCCTTAATCCCTCACCACTGACAATGCTGGTCGATGAGTTGTAGTTCAAAACATCTGCAACGCACCACACTGGTTATCAGTGACCTACTGTTTTTAGACGACTAAGGGGAAAGGACATGACATTGGAGGTAATCCAGAGTTGAGGTTTGTGGGTTTCATAGGCCCCACTTTTCCCCATATAACTCAAACAATACCTTCCTGCCCACCTGCCATCTTCAAAATATCACCTCCCTCTCTTCTTAAAAATCTTTCCTCAGAACCTACCTTTTGCCTGCAGTCTTTCCTTGCAGCCTCAAATCAGAAGTGCGAGACCTATGGGTCCTCCATAGTTTGCTAAACTAAAACCTGCCATCATCACTGACCATCAGCCATGCCAGATGGGAGTGATGGAGGCTGGGGTCCAAGAACAACTGAATAGCCACAGGTTCTTAATCCCTGCCTTTGATCTCTGCACCTGAAACCAAGACTAAAGTACTGCGGATTTTAAAACTATCATTTTAGCTATTGTTTTTGGTTATGGCCTTATTGGATTTTACGTTGCAAGCAGCCACCCTTCAAGGAGGAAGGGCAAGATGTAAGTAAACCCATATGCTTCTCCTGTTTACTTCCCTGCTCCAGTCAATCTTCCTTCCCTCCATATTTTGCAACCGTTGTGCTTAAATTTGTAAGCTCCTTGGGGCAAGGACACCATCCTCTTCTTATTACGTAGGAAGTTCCATGCACATTATTAATATATTAATAACAGTTATTTACACATCACCCTCAATATACATGGCATTTTGCAGAGGTTATTGTGTCAATGTGAGATCTGCATACAAAGCTTTTGCAATTTAAACTTTGACAGGCAGAAACATTAAATGTAAGTTATGGCCAGGTTTTGAAAGGATGGGTAGAAGATGCAATTACATGTTTTAAGGCTTGCACAGATTTGAGGATGAGTATTGGTTGATTAAGCCAGAGGATTCCAACCTTTTTGAATCCACGGCTCCCTTGACCAACTACATTCTTTCTGCGGCACCCTTGTGGGGCTCAGCAGCCCAGTTATGTCACCCCTTGCTTGCAGAGCTGGCAACCTCTCACTCTTTTTCAAACACCATCCCTTGTGGAGTGTTCCCTCAGCCTCCTCTCCTTTCCCCTCATCTTGGGAGTCCTCAGGGCAGCTGCTGCCGCCGCCCCTGGTTTCTAAGCTGCCATCCCCCCACCCCAAAGAGAGGTGCCTCCTCACACTGCCCCACAGGTGCCTTGGAAAATGATGCCCCCAATGGAGTCCGGTAAATGTGAGGCCAGCACTTACTTTGGGAGGCAGCAGTGGCAGCAGAGGGCACCGCCAGGCCTCCATGGCAGAAAGGCTCCTTTCTGGTGCCGGGCACTCAGCTCCCAGGCAGGGATTGTACACAGCAAGCACAAGAAAAGCCAGCACAGTGCCTGCCCGGCCTCCCACTTTTCTATCCAGACTGGCTGGCTGGGCTCTCTCACCCACTGGCTTGCTGACTCCGAGGCTGCCTCAGTTCCTGGCAGCCAGCACCCCCTGGCCAGCCCCAGAGGCGCCATTCACCTGCAGAACTTGTAGCTGCAACAGACAGCTGTGCAAGCCTTTGGGTGGCAGAAACATGAGAAGGCATCAGAGGCAGCACCCCTGACCATCCTTCAAGCCACCCTGGGTGCCACGGCACACTGGTTGAAAACCACTGGGTTAAGCAAAAGCGAGTTTTGAAGGGTGTGGTAAAAGTGTGACCCAATAGGATTTAATACAGATCCTCCTGAACTACCACAATACCTGGAGTATGTTGGCATCCCATGTAACTTAAGACCCCATAAGAGCCATATTTCTGCAAGCCTTCTGCACAAGATGCGATTTTTAGCATGCATTCTATAGACACAAACATAAGCTTTGAATTCGGAGTGGGGTGGATCACGCGTAAAATTATGCAGATTTAAGAGGATTACAAGGGACACGGGTGGCGCTGTGGTCTAAACCACAGAGCCTAGGACTTGCTGATCAGAAGGTCGGCGGTTCAAATCACTGCGACGGGGTGAGCTCCCGTTGTTCAGTCCCAGCTCCTGCCCACCTAGCAGTTTCAAAGCACATCAAGTGCAAGTAGATAAATAGGTACCGCTCCAGCAGGAAGGTAAACGGTGTTTCCGTGCGCTGCTCTGGTTCGCCAGAAGCAGCTTAGTCATGCTGGCCACATGACCCGGAAGCTGTACACCGGCTCCCTCGGCCAATAAAGCGAGATGAGCGCCGCAACTCCAGAGTCGTCCGCGACTGGACCTAACAGTCGGGGGGGGGGGTACCTTTATCTTTACCTAAGAGGATTACAGCCATGGTCATCAACAGGTTCGGTTCCTGAGGCCTGATCAACTTTGGGAGCCAACGTGAGCAAGCGCGTGCTGGTCTACAGTCAGGAAACCCAGATTCAGATCCACTTTTAGCTATGAAGCTCATTGGGTGTCCCTGGCTACTCAAGAGTCTCTTAGGCTAACTAACCTTCCTCACAGGGTTGTTGCAATGAAAAAACGAGAGCGCGGGATGGGGGCGTGTAGGCTGCCTTGAGCTCCTTAGGAAAGGTGGAATCATAACAATGATTAATACTGTAATTAACCCCCACATTTGTGGTACGATCAGCGATGCCCGGGAACAGATCGGATGTTGGAGACTGCATCTCTGTGGAGCTATATTATAGCAGGCACATGGGGAAGACAGAGGACGGGGAGGCGGGGGGGGGCTCTAAACGAAATAAAAGCAACTCGACTCACTCCGGAGGTCGCGAAAGGACATGGTGGCTCCAGGAAACGCTGCGAAATAGCCTCTGCTGTTTTGACTCGCTCGGCTAACGCTACACTCGCCGAGGCTTCCCCGCGCAGCTTTTCGAGAGCAGGCCGCGGCGCTTTGGTCGCTATGACAACAAGGCTACGGCGCGCCGCCGGGCTCAAACCGCGCAGGAAGACGGAGAAACGCTTTTGAAAGAAACGGGCGATAAATCGAACGCGAGGCACAGACGCGGAAATGGGCGGGGCTAGCCTGGAATCACAGCTGTTTCTGAGGCCCTGTGACAAGAGAGGGGCGTGGCTTAGCTGGACGTCGGAGACAGCCATACAACCAGAGTTTTTTATTTGCATACGTCATGTGGAAGCGGGGGGGGGCACGGAGGGGAGCTGCCCAACCCTAAGTCAATAACATAGCAAACTGAGGTTCTGCCCTCACTAACAAAAGGCCTGCCACCCAACAAAATCCTGGCTACGCCTATGCTGTACGTTATATTTTATCTGCATTTATTTATTTTTAATCTCTACCAGATTTGCAATATTTACTTTATGTGCAATATTTCTAGGCTGCCTATAGATAGATAGATAGATAGATAGATAAACTTTACCAGTCAATCCCTCTTCCTACAGAACTCTGGGAATTGTAGCCACATGAGGGGACCCATAACAAACTACAATTCCCAGCATTGTTTGACAGCAGCTATAAAGCTATAAAGTGGTATGATACTACTTTGAATGCATGGGAGTCTTATTCTGAGCCCCAGCTGCTGACACATTCACTATGAAGGTACGCATTGACACCTACATGCAACATAGAATGAATCACATTCGTTTTGTGCCAGAGTAGCCTTAATGGTCATCTTTGCAAAGGAACAAGTGTGTGTTTGCACTACTGTATAGTTTCAGCATCAGAAGCATTTATGTACTTAAGCACCGGAAATTATGTTCCTAGTCCCCTGCTTCTCTGCACACCATTCCTCCTTATCTTCAGTAATCTAATGAAAGTGACAGCGCACATCATCACAGTTTCATAACAGATGCCTTTGACTAACCTCTTCTGAGATTCGTTTGTTGGAGTGAAGCTGCTAATCTGAAAAATGACAGGATACTTTTCAAATTTCTTCAATGATTTATTTCCAAACTTGTGTGCCACGACACATTAGTGTGTCGGCTGCAGTGTGTAGGTGTGTCGTGTGAACGCTCCCCATACTCCTCTTGGGGCTGGAAAAGGGTTAGTTTAATCTCTGGTTGGCTAGTAAAACTGAATTACCGTGTCATGAAATGATGCATGTCTAAGAAGTGTGTGACCAACATGAAAAGTTTGGAAAGCTCTGATGTACACAATTCCTCCACATATGCTCAGTCGGGATATTTTAAAGGATGGAAGTCGGTGTGGGTGTGTGGCGGCAGCAAGGGAGTCTACCTACTTATTTTAAAGGAGGGTTGCCTAACTAGTTATTATCTTGGGCTTCCATACTGAACTTTTACTTACTGAATTATTTATAAAATGCTTGGTGGCCATGTTGGTATACTAGAATAAAAAGAAATAAAAACATTGATAAGGTAATATCTTAATTGGGATGTTAAAAGCCAGCAAGCTGTGTATGACTTTTCTTAAGGCTATATATTGTGTTAAACAGCAACAGGAGCAGAAAACACCCAGCGAGCAATTTCACAAATGCGGAAAATGCAATTTCAGAATAAAAATACTATAGAAACCCCCACCCCATGACTTATGAGATGATGTGTATGGGATGGGATCACAGTAGGTATGAGTACAAAAGCTTCCGTAACCCCTCAGATTTATCTTATCTTATTTTTTTGCTATTAGGTCCACCTCTTAGCCTGGGTGCTTAACACTGAATATTGGCCTGTGAGGAGACACAGTTTGACATAATCTGTGAGGGGACTGTGAATGGAAATGAATGCAAATCTTATAAAGCACCAATAGACCTCCTGTGACCATTCTTCCCATGGAAGACAAACCTGGGTAAATGTGGCACTTCAGGGACAAACCACTACTCAGAAAAAGCAGGAGGGCTATTATTATAATTAATATAATTATACTAATTTATTTAATTATACTAACATTATGCAATTGTCCAATTTCTGTTTCCTCCCAAAACGCTCTTTGCAGAAGAAAGAAGTGATGGGATCCTTTTTCATCCTGGCCTCAAACTCATGCTCCCACCCCACCAGGACCAAAATAATGATCAACACCTGCCCAGCATTTACGTCTTGACACTATAGGAGAGAAGAGCTCGTTGTGAGACTCCGCCGCAGCCTCTGCTCATAAATGAAACATTTCCCTCCTCATGTCAGCAGCAGCTCTAACTAGATATAATGAAGGCACTGGTTTGCCAAGTCTTCCTCCAGAGCGCTTTGGCTGTCAACCTTAAACCTGTCTGCAATTCCATCATGGAAGCCTTGCAAAATTCTGGCATTAGAGGGGCAATCAGTGGCTGGTTTTTCAGTTATGAGTTGAACTGAGGGGCCATTTTGGTCATCGGAGGTTTGCATCATCAGGCCCCTGCCCTACAGTTCCTCCTGTCGGTCCACTTGGTTTGCGGCCTTCATTTGTCTCTTCTCCTCCTCTCTGGGCAGTGGTGTGGATAGAGCCCAGAGGGGAACCTTCTCCCCACCCTGGCTCTCTGCCGATTTGTGCCAAGTCCTGTCTATATAAAGTGAAGAGCCTGGAGTGCACAAATGAACAACTGGGAAATGGGGGAAATATGCACCCCTTTAGCCATTTCTTAACCTTATTCAGATTGCCAGTTGGACCCAAAAGGAACTGAGGCTGTAGAAACAGCATAGGCAATTTACGTGAGTGGTTCCTTGGAAGGAGGAGGGGAGGACTTCCAGGAACTGCCTGGACGGGGTCTTGTGTCACTGGAAAACAACAAATAAATCTCCTTCCCTGAATTCTTTTGCATGGTGGAGAGATCTGTTAGGTGGCGTGATCTGGCGCAAAGATAGTGTACTCTTAAAATTAATAATTATGTAGGTCAAAGCATATCAGCAGATGCAGCTTTTCATACAAGGTGCGAAGAAAACCAGCTAAAATTCTACACAACAGTTTGAGACACAGGAGTCCTGCCTTCCTTTATATTTGGCCACAAATGGGTACTCTCGTGGCCCTCCAGGGCTCCCTGTCTGGCCCTTGGGACCCTCCCCAGGTCACACAACCTCCCAAGCCACACCCCTCACCAACCCTGCTTTGCAGCCCAATTGAGGGTTTTTTGCAAGGCTGGAGTGTATCTAAAGATACTCTGGTGATGCCTCTTGCTTGTCTGGATGGAGAACACAGGTGTGTGTTTGTGTTTGTGTGTGTGTGTGTGTAGAAGCTAGCCTACCATACAAATAGGGATGTGGGTGGCACTGTGGTCTAAACTGCTGAGCCTCTTGGGCTTGCTGATCGGAAGATCAGCGGTTCGAATCCATGCGACGGGGTGAGCTCCCGCTGCTCTGTCCCAGCTCCTGCCAACCTAGCAGTTTGAAAGCACACCAGTGCAAGTAGATAAATAGGTACCGCTGCGGCAGGAAGGTAAACGGCGTTTTCGTGTGCTCTGGCTTCCATCATGGTCCTTCATGTGCCAAAAGTGGTTTAGTCATGCTGGCCACGTGACCCAGAAATCTGTCTGTGGACCAGTGGCGTAGCGTGGGGGGTGCAGGGGGGGCCGGCCGCACCGGGCGCAACATCTGGGGTTAGGGTTAGGGGGCGCAAATCCACGGGTTAGGGGGCGCAAATCCACAGGTTAGGGGGCGCAAATTACTTGCCTTGCCCCGGGTGCTGACAACCCACGCGACGCCACTGCTGTGGACAAATGGCGGCTCCCTCAACCTGAAAAGCGAGATGAGCGGCACAAACCCATAGTCACCTTTGACTGGACTTAACCATCCAGGGGTCCTTTACCTTTTACCTTACTGTACAAATATAAAATACACACCTGTTGCTCCACCCACTTTTGCCCCTAGCTCCACCCACCATTGGCATGTGGTCCCCAGAAGACTGCCTTAAATGGAACATGGCCCTCGGACTGACAAATGGTTCCCACTCCTGCATTTGGTCATCATCATCATCATTGCTGCATTGCAGAGGGTTGGATTGGATGGCCTTTGGGATCCCTTCCAACTCTACTACCGTCATTCTGTGATTCTAAGGGAAAGCATCATGGCAAAGAGTGTGAGGAGACTAACTCTGACTTACAGCCCTTGCCCAAAGGACGAGCAGCAGCAGGGATCTTTCTTCCACTTTCCCTGTGTGAAACAACATTACAATAACTTTATAGCAGGAGCAAGTGCTTGAGTTTGCTTTTCTTCCTTCCAGCTCCCTCCCAGTCGCTTTTGTGCTGTGCCTTTTAGATTGGAAGCCTGAGGGCAAGGAGTTTATTATTGATTGTTGTGAGCCTCTCTGGGAGACTTTTGTGGCTGAAGTTCCCTCTCAAAGTGCTTTTAAGAAATAAATGTTCCAGTTCCAGGCAGACCAAGGGACTACTAGGGCTGTGTGCACATTTAAAGCCCTCCCTCCTCCCCGAATCCAGGGAACTCAGAGCTACAGTTCCCAACAGCCTTAACAAACTGCAGTTCCCAGTATTCTTGAAATGTGGTGGTGGAATAAACTTTAAATGTGCTTTAAATGTATGGCTTGTATGCAGCCCTGGTCCATCAATGTGCCCTGAACACCCAATTTCTAAAAGCGTTTTGAGTGTGCTTTGAATGTGTTTTAAATATATGGTGTATATGCAGCCTGGGTGGTGCAAGGAATGTGTTGCATAGGTCAAGTGTTCCCTTTTACTATATGTTTAATTCTACCATAGGACGCTTCCAGATGACTCACTGTCCCTATGTATTTGGGGGGATGTTACATGATGTTGGCTGCTTAATGAGCATTCATCCTGATTTGTTTGCAGGGAGAGTAGATGATGTGGCATCAAAGGGAGTGCTATGTCATACTTTCCAATGCATTTACCCTGTCCACTTTCATTATCACAAAATGGTCAGATATTTTGGGGAAGCGGGATTTTTGTGCAAGAAGAAAGACAAGCAGGGTGGAGCGCTCCTGTTTTGGATTCTAGCCAGCCAGCCACAACCTTCTCCAGGTTACTCCATTCCGTTCTACCTCCCTCCTTGGTTGCCCCCCTTCAACATTCTTCCAACACTCTCCATTC